GTAGCATTTTAAATTGAATCCTGTAAATGATCAGGAGCCAGTGAAGAGCTTGTGAGACCGGAGTTATGTGATCCCTGCGTCTCCTACCTGTCAGCAAGCGGGCTGCCGCATTCTGAGCCACCTGCAAGCGGTGAATTGATGACAAGGTAAATCAACATTGTTTTACTGAACAATCACGATAATAAATCACAGTGCATTTAGTGCCAACCACAGCCTTAAGACATGTGTTGAAAATGCCCAAGTCCATACTTATGAGAGCACCAGAGTGTGTATACGTGCTTGTATATGTAAGGTTTCTCTATAGGAGCATCCAATAGAGAGTGTGAGGGGCCACAGATCTGCTCCCTAAAGATGTGTAAGAGATGGAAGGAGCTCCAAGTCCCAGAGATCCAGGAGCTGCCCCAGAGCGCAGGGACCCCAGGGAGACTGTGATCAGAAAAGCCCCAGCCCCCTCGCGAGAGGTGCAGAGAATTGCCCCGGGGGTCACAACCATAGGCGTCATTTTAACCGGGGACGCCGGGGACATGTCCCCAGCAAAATTCGTGATTGGCAGCTGTGTCCCCCCCACTTTAAAAAAGCCTGCTGATGAGGATTTTTGTTTTACCAGCTCAGATCTTATACCAGGGGTCGGCAACCTGTTCCCATCAAAGAGCCATTATTACCCGTTTCCCACAGTAAAGAAAACACTGGGAGCCACAGCGGCCGCAGCGTTGTGGGCGGGGCCTACCCTCAGACAGCAGAGCGCTGCTCACAACATGACAGCAGCCGGTACCGGTCGCTCGCATGGGCGTCGCACCCGTGGGGGATTCAACACCCACACTTTTCCAGCTGTTTTGCTCACCTCCACACCAGTCTGGTTTCTTTACGTCGCACTCACTCTGTTTGCCTCATCTCCTTCTTCCCCTCCGCTTCTGACAGCCGATGTCGGGTTTCCAGGAGAGCAGAAGAGGGAGGGACGGAAGAGCTCGACTGAATTCATAATTTTACATCTTGACATTAGCTGTACAAAGTCTGAGTTTGATAAAGTGAAGAACAACAATTTGCAGAGGTTTATAACAGGCGCGGCGCCAGGTTTTCATTTTTGGGTGGGCCACGGTAATTCTGGACGGACCTTAATAAGCAGCAACTTCAGTGAAGCAGGCAGGTCGCGCTAGAAAATTTAGTTTAAAAAGACGTCATAAATGTTTTCCCCCGTCATTTTTATTTATAAAATATGAAGTAAAAACTCACAATTTAATTTTCATTCATTTGTCATTAATATGTAGTCTACACCCGTGCGTTAAGTGGACCATCTTCCAGTAAAAACAAAGCTTCCAGCCCACCTCTCCAAATGCGTAAAATGTGCATCAGCCTCTAGTTAGGTGCGCCGCGTGCACCGTCAGCCCAGACAAGAGCAGAGCAACTAGAGAAAGAATAGAGGATAATTGTGTCTGGATGTGGATGAAGATTACATTTTACATCAGCCTGATCATCATTTAAATACGTAAACCATCACCTGTCTTCTAGTCCACGCTATCAGCATTATTTTAATTGGTTTGTGTGTGTGTGTGTGTGTGTGTGTGTGTGTGTGTGTGTGTGTGTGTGTGAGTGTGTGTGTGTGTTTTCCACTTCAAACACTGGTCTAACCAACCAGACCAGTGTGTCCAGTAACACATTAATGTTAGAATTAAACAGTTTCACTTCATGTAGGCTAGGAACGTTTCACCTGCCGTGGCCCGGCCGCTTCTGCTCCACATAAACTTTGTGCGTGATCAAATGTCTCTACGCGTCATGCGTCTCCATATTAGAGACGGGAACAAGCGCTGTTCTGCCAAAGTTTCATAATTTCATAAAAAGAACATTTTTCCAGGTGACACATCCCTCAGAGAGACCGGGTTTCCAGAACGCTTCAGTGGGAGGAAATCGTATCGCATGCACCGGGGTTCTGCGCTGCGAATCCCTCTACAGATCTTCAGCCCACTGTCCACCGTGGGCGCGCCGAGCCGCACTGAACACAGTGTCCAGTATAAAGCTCTGATGTTCTGATGGGAATCAAGTTACCTCTGCGATGTGCGTATTAAAATGTCAGCTCATCCATGCGCATCAGTGTGCGTCGGGGTAATTCTTTCAAAACAACCAACATCCTTGAGTTTATCCGTCAATATGTGGCAAGATGGAGAAATGAGGGCCCGGGCGGGATTCGATCCCCAAACTACCGGGTGAGAGTCATATGCTCTAACCAGTCAGCCAAAGAGATATTCCGTTGGCTAAGTAGCCAGGGCGCATGATCTATCGGGACACTGTGACAGGACACTCACACTGCCACACCTGAATATGAAACTTTGGCTGAATAGCGCTTGTTCCTGTCTCCAATGTGGCGACGCATCCAGGAACCTGTCTGAGGAGAAGCCCAGAATCTGACATCCTCCAGCTCAGGAAGCACATATGATTACGCACAAGCGTGACGCGTCAACCCAGTCTCACAGTAAGACTGGGTTGGACCTGTTCAGGTTTACGCAGACAATCTTTACATTTAGAATTGGCATACAGATGTAAAATTAATGCAGTAAAATATAAAGCTTTTTATTTAAATATCCATTCACTATTTTACAAGCAAAGAGAGCGCATCAGATGGATGGAAGAGCCGCATGCGGCTACAGAGCCGCCGACACCTACTTTATTGTCCCCAGCAATTTTTAAACCCCACTCAAGTGTATGGTTATTGTCCCCAGCAATTCTGAAAACAAACTGACGCCCTTGGTCACAACCAGCAGCCGGCAGAGTCCCGGGAGGTATCAGCAGCAAGCCCACAGCCCCGCTCACAGCCTCCCACCCCAAGCCGACCGAGCCTGGAACCCAGCGACCCGGAACCCAGGGGCGACCAGCCGTGCCGGGGACCCAACAGAGCCCAGGGACCCAGATCCCATCAGGCAGCCACCGGGATCGATCAGGCAGACGCCTTAAATCTTAAAACCCCTGACCCGCGAGCCGCGACCACTCAGGCAGACCAAGGCACCACAGTTTACACCAAATGTGGCAGGATGAGGGCAGGCGAAGATGTGTAGTAGCACCAGAAGTCCGAGGAGAGCGGAGGAGTCCAAGACCCCACCTGACATATCCAGCCATACACAGACACAGTCACACACTCCCTCCCTCATGCTCACACATACATATACAACCTAAGACTTACAAAAATGAATGCTAGACACCCAGTCATGCTCCCCATACACACCTTATTCACCCTGGTCCCGGTACTGCTGCACAAAGGGTACAACCATCACCGGTTCCCAGAGTTCGCCCCTTTCTGCTGGGGGTGATGATGAGCAGGCTCCGCTGCCCAACGCCAAGCAAAGCATCCCACCACCCCAGACCCCAACGTGACGGCCAGCTCTCCCTCCCAGCCTGCAGCCCCGGGAAGCCAAGCGACAACAGAGGTGTATTTTCAAAGAGAACAAGTGAGAAGTCCTGCATCTTTGCAGGATTAGTTAAGAATATTGGCTCAAGTTCATAGACACCATATCGGCACCACAGTGTCAGATTGACCTGTATGAAGAAGTTTGGCCTGCAAGTCAAAAGTGAACTTCTGGTCATTTTGATGGAATACTTGGCCATTTGCTATGCTACAGTGTGAAATGTAAATCAGTCTTTTTTTTTACAGTTTCAAGTAGTTGTAGTTAACATTTCCTTTACGAACATTACAAAATTATTGCATTCGAAGAAAAATACATATATTTTAGTTGACCGAAACAAGACTAAAATTAAAACAAATTGGATGACTAAATCGTGACTAAAATTACAAAGACTTTTAGTCAAAAGACTAAACCTAAAACTAGATTAGAATTTCTTGCTAAAATCAACACTGGACAGAAACTACTGACAAGTAGGCTACAATTCTCAATTTCAACCCATGACTGAGCTCCATGGGTCAGATTGGTTTGAGCCAAGTGTTGTATGTGATTATGCCAAGCGAGTCTGTTTCATGCTGCAAGTCCATCGGGTCATTTTGATTTCAGGTTGAAAATTTGGGCCCACTGAGAACTCTATTCACAAGTCCTTCATCCATACTAGAGACTAGTAGACTCCACAAAAGGAGGAATGCCGACAGATGCTGTGTCCCGACCTTCACCCTCTTCCTTCAGGCTGACATGTCTGCAGGAACTTCAATGTGCTCTCTGTTCCTTATCTCTCCCTCCCACCTGTTGGTCTGCAGCTGGTCGATGCGCCGCAGTGGCAGCTCCCATTGGAGGCTTCAGGATCCCGCCCACCCCCACCTCCCCACCGGACTCTGATGTTGTATCTGTGCTGTCTGTGCTTCCATGTATGTCAGGTGTTTTTTTGCATTGGAGTGCTACACCCTGCTGGTGTAACCCTGTTAATGCCTTTTTTTCTCCCTCCCTGAACTTCCCTCATGTAACACCCTTTTCATCAATTAAGGTAGCGCGACTCATGTTGCGAATGACCGCAGTCACCAATTCTTGTTATGTGTCTTATCCACGTATGTCTGATCTTTGAATTGTGTGTGCTGAAACTGAATTTCATTTCTCTGTATGTCCTGCACATGTGGAGAATATGACAATAAATGACTTTGAACTTTGAACTTTAGGGATGTAAGAAAATATCGACATGGCAGTTTATCGTGATTTTTTTCTTGCAATATTATACTGATATTCAAAAGCTGTGTATCTAATTTTTGGAAGAATTCACATGCAAACATTTGTGTATTTTCTTATCTTTTGATGCAATTCAAACACCAGCCACTAGTTGGCGGCATTGTGCAATGGGTTTTGTTCCCCCAATGAAATGTAAATCCCTCTGTTATGGTTCAGATAGCTCATTTTAAACATGTTATGTTTCAGTTTGGACTCTTTATTGGATTTTCCTGCAATGAATTTAGTCTAAAAATTCACTATCGTCTGACTGAATGTATTGCAATACATTGTATCGTCTCCCCTGTATCGTGATACGTATCGTATCACCAGAATGTCACCAATACACATCCCTACTAGACCACACCAGATGTATTCAGCAAATGAGCGAATCAGACCTTTAATTGATCATCTGTCCAAAGCATGCACACCTCACTCCACACCACCAGCAGGCAGCACAAAAATGACACTGAGACTACATTCATTCAAATCAAGTCCAGTTTACAACATTCAAACCAGATATAGTGAGAAGAATAAACACATTTTACAGCTACAGTATGATTTCAGCTATCTTTTGGAGGCATCAATGCTCCATGTAAAAAGATGATGGTGTGTATGTACACAGGAAATGAACTCGAAAGGTCAGATGGTCACAGCTGGAGGTGGCAGCGCCAAGTTGGCTGATGGGGACGAGCGAGAAGTTGACTGGTCCTCTTTCCACCTCCTCTTGTTTACAAACACTCTGAAATTCTAAAATAAACAAATGAGAATATTAAGTTAAAACGATGAAAAAGTAGTTTCTGGGTATAAATGAAAACACAGAACTCAGAGTTTATCTTCTGGACTGATTTACATTGGGACACCAAATCAGAGCGTCCTGGTGTGTCTAAAGTGAGTTTGTTGGCCATTTGCCAATCAGTAGCTCCTCTACCTTCTTCCTCGTTGTTGTTGGAGATCAAACCAACAACAGCATGTCAGCCATGATCACCAAGACATGATAGGAACGTGCTTGTCAAAACCTTTCTTCCGTCTCAGTGATGATCAGGTTTTAGCATCTTAAAGCTGTGAAACTCTCAGCTCTTCTCGGCCCTGACAACACACACACATCGTTGGATAAAAAGAATGGAGCCACGTACCTTTCTGTTGCTACCCTGTCTTCTTAGGATCCATCCTTCGGTGTTTAAGGCGGAGTTTCAGAGCAAGAAGGTCAATGTAGAGGATCTGATTGAGGACCGCTGAGGCACAGAGTAGTCCACCATGCAGTGCTCCAGCCATGCCGTTACAGAACACGTCCTGACCTGAACACACACACAAACACACCTTGATGAGGTTTTATAGAGAGCAATCAACTGAACCTTCTCACCATCTGGAGGAGAAACTCTATGACCTGAATCCTAGAGAGGATTTTTCTGTAGAATTGAGACCAAGAAGCTGATCCTCCAGCGTTTTACAGAATGTTTGCTGTAAATTATAATAATGCTGGTGATGGGGCAGCAGTCGCCCAGGAGGTAGAGTAGGTTGTCCAGTAATCAGATGGTTGTAGGATCAATCCTGTCTCCTGCCAGAGAATGCTGATGTTGTGTCCTTGTGACCGCTTAACCCGCTTTGCCTGCTGGTGGTGGTAAGAAAGACTAGTGGCGCCGATGTTCGTCAGCCTCACTTCCGTCAGTGCACCCCAGGGCAGCTGCGGCTATAATGTAGTAGTTCAGAATAGAATAGAAAAGATTTTATCGTAATTGCTCATGGCAATGAAATTACAGATGGTCCGCCATCAACAGTGCACAAGACAATAAATAACAATAAATGTCAAAACCATAGAGGACTAAAAACAATTTAAAAACATTTAGCAAACACCAAGAAAGCACATCCAGTGATTCAGATGTGCTAAAACAACAATTTAAAAGGATTTAAAACAGATTAGTCCACATTACTGATGGGGATGTGGGGGGTTGAATGGTGCTGTTGTGTAGAATGTTCTGATGGCCCAAGGGAAGAAGCTGTTGGAAAGTCTGGTGGTATGTGATTTAACTGACCTGAAGCGGTGCCCTGAGGGCAACAGGTCAAACAGGAAGTGGGCTGGGTGGGTGGGGTGACAGAGGATAGCAGCAGTTCTCTTTGTCAGGTTTGGTGGCAGAGCTGAAGCGTGGCTGAGAAGGTCTGTTGCCCAGACGCGGAGTGGTGGAGATAAACAGCGTGGTTTAGCTCCTTTAGGTTCGGTTTGAAGGTTTGAAGGCTGGTAAGCCTGAGAACTCGATTCAAAGTCAGGTGAGAACGATGGCAGAGTAATGAATGAAACGCCGGCACTTCCTTATATAGTGTCGGCGTGATGACGTCGGCGGCCACTTTGGTGGCGGGAATGATGGGAAATGGTGGCGAGAATGCTGGGAAATGGAGTCAGCTGGAGGAGTTTGTGACACGGGCCCGGATCCAGGCGAGCCGACAGCGGCGGACCAGCGTCTGGGCAGCAGGGACCTCCACCTCCGGCACCTGATGGTCGAACAGAGGGGGCTGGTACCCATAACAGGTCTCGAAGGGAGACATATTTGTGGCAGAGGAGGTCTGGAGGTTGTGGGACAGTTCCGCCCACAGGAGGAAGCGGGGCCAGGTGGTCGGCTGGGACGAAGCGAAGCAGCGCAAGTAGCGTCCAAGCTGCTGGTTAGCTCTCTCCGTCTGACCGTTCGTCTGCGGATGGTACCCAGAGGACAGGCTGGTGGAAGCGCCGACCAGGCAACAGAACGCTTCCCAGAAGCGTGAGACGAACTGGGGTCCCCAGTCGGAAACCACGTCCTGGGGGAAACCATGGAGCCGCACCACCTGTTCGAGGAGTAGTTCGGCCGTCCTCTTGGCAGTGGGGAGACCGGCCAGGGCCACCAAGTGCACGGCCTTGGAGAAACGGTCCGTGATGGTCAGTATGGTGTCCAGGTGGTTGACCACTGAGGTTCTGGTGGTCGGTCCAGATCAGAAAGGGATTGGTGGTCCCCAAGAGCCACTGCCGCCATCCCTCCAGAGCCCATTTCATAGCCAGCGGTTCTCTGTCACCGACCCCATAGCTCTGCTGTGTGGGGGAAAACTTCCGGGAGAAGTAGGCGCATGTGTGGAGCTTAGAGTCTGGACCCCGTTGCGAGAGGATGGCCCCTGCTCCCACATCAGAGGCATCCACCTCCACGACAAAGGGCCGGGTCTGGTCCGGGTGGAGGAGGATGGGTTCTTTAGTAAAACGTCCGACCAGATCATGGAAAGCCCGGACAGCCTCTGGAGTAAGGCGAAAAGGGCGAGGCTGGTTGGCGGCTTTGGTGAGTGAGGTCAGAGGTGCTGCGAGGGAGCTGAAGTTGCATATAAACCTCCAATAAAAGTTCGAGAAACCCAGGAAGTTTTGCAGCTGCTTCAGGGTCGTGGGTAGAGGCCACTGAGCTACGGCCTGAACCTTCTGGGGGTCCATCTTCAGGCCCTGGGAGGAGATGGTAAAACCCAGGAAGGAGGTGGACTCCTGTTGAAACGCACACTTCTCCAGTTTGCAGTACAGTCCATGGTCCAGGAGGCAGGACAGAACAGCTCGAACGTGCCGGATGTGCTCTTCGGCTGTGCGGGAGTAGATGAGGATGTCATCTAGATAAACAAAGACCCAGCGGCCCAACATGTCTCTCAGCACATCTGTAATGAACCGCTGGAAGACGGCGGGGCTGTTGCAGAGGCCAAAAGGCATCACCAAATATTCATAGTGGCCGGTGGGTGCGATAAAGGCGATCTTCCACTCCTCACCTTCCTTAATACGGATGAGGTTGTAAGCACTGCGCAGGTCCAGTTTAGTGAATACAGTGGCTTGTATGATGGCGTCCAGGGCGGTGCCCATGAGAGGGAGAGGGTGACGGTCCCGGATCGTTATTTTATTTAACCCTCGATAGTCAATACAGGGCCGGAGATCCCCCTCTTTCTTTACAAAGAAAAACCCCGCGGCCCCAGGGGATGTTGAGGGATGGATGAATCCCTTCTGGAGGGCATCAGTTATATAATTGTCCATAGCCCGTGTCTCCACCGGAGAGAGGGAGAACAGGCGACCCCGAGGGGGGGGGGGGGGGGGGGGGGGTGCCGGGCTGGAGCCTGATCTCCAGGTCATAGGGTCGATGAGGAGGTAGCCTGGTAGTGGGTTCTTTAGCGAAGACCTGAGCGAGGTCATGGTTATGAGGAGGGACGAGCGTCAGGTCTATGTCTTTGGGAGGAGCTGCTCCAGCCCGAGGTGTAGAGGAGCCCCGGTGGTTCTGGCAACCCGTGCCCCAGGCCAGGACCTTACTGGTGGACCAGGAGATGTGAGGCTAATGACGGCATAACCAGGAGTGACCCAGGATGAGTGGTGTAGCCGGAGCCTGGATGACCAGGAAGTGTAGGGTCTCCAGGTGTTGGTCAATAGTCATGTGGAGACCCTGGGTTCGGTGGGTGAGAGGGTACGGCATGATTGACCGGCCGTCCATGGAGGTCACAGGGATGGGTCGGTCAAGAGCAGTGAGGGGTATTTTGAGCTGAGTAACCAGTCCGTGATCGATAAAACACTCCGCGGCCCCAGTGTCTAAAAGAGCCTCCAGTCTGGTCGGACCTTGGTCCAGGTGGAGGGAGACCGGGAGAGTGGTGCGGTGTGGAGCCGTAAAAGTGGAGACTCCGGGCGGGACAGCCCCCACTCCAACCCGGGGGGACCGTTCCCCGGTCTTTTTGGGCACGTGCCACGGTGGTGACCCAAATCCCCACAGTAAGCGCATCGTCCCTCCTGATAGCGCCGTGCCTGTTCCTCAGGAGGGAGTTGTCCGAGCTGCATCGGCTCCTCCGTCGGTTGGTGAGCCGGACGACAGGGTGACGTTCTGGTGTAGATGGGAGCTGACGTGGTGCTCGGCCTGTTCAGGATGCAGCGGTCCAGCTGGAGAGCCAAATCCACTGCCAGGTCCAGGGAGGTGGGGGCCTCGTGTCCGATCATGCCCTCTCGGATTCTAGGTGACAACCCCTCCAGATAAACGGCCTTTAGGGTGGCGTCATCCCACCACAACCGAGCGGCTGTCGTCCGGAAGCGAGAGGTGTACTGAGACGCCGTCTGGGAGCCCTGGCGAAGCTGAAGCAGCCGAGTCTCGTCCGAGACCTCGCTGCTGGGATGAACAAATGTCTTTTTCATCTCCTTCAACAAAGTCTCATAGTCATTGCAGGCAGGAGATTTCTGATTATAAAGAGCCGCTGCCCATTCACCGGCTCGACCCGTCACCAGTGAGGTCAGCAGGGCGACACGAGAACAGGAAGTGGGGTAGCTTGCCGGCTGGCACTCAAAAGTCATTGCCAGGGTCACCAGCATGCCCTCCAGGGACCCCCTGTTTCCGTCCCACTTATCTGGAAGGCTGAGGCGTGGCTCCATCGGCTCAGAGACGGCCGAGGTCCGTCGTTGCAGGGCAGTAGTAAGCTGGGGAACTAGCTCGGTGAGTGACTCGATCTTTGTGGCTTGGCGATCAGCTACGGCACGGAGCTGGTTCATTTCTGCCGTATGCTGATCCGTAGCTGCGCGCAGTTGAACCACTTCAACACGCAGACGAGCGAACTCCGCTGGGTCAACTTGAGACTCTGACATCCTGTCAGGTTTGGTGGCAGAGCTGAAGCGTGGCTGAGAAGGTCTGTTGCCCAGACGCGGAGTGGTGGAGATAAACAGCGTGGTTTAGCTCCTTTAGGTTCGGTTTGAAGGCTGGTAAGCCTGAGAACTCGATTCAAAGTCAGGTGAGAACGATGACAGAGTAATGAATGAAACGCCGGCACTTCCTTATATAGTGTCGGCGTGATGACGTCGGCGGCCACTTTGGTGGCGGGAATGATGGGAAATGGTGGCGAGAATGCTGGGAAATGGAGTCAGCTGGAGGAGTTCGTGACACTCTTCAGGCAGCTGGTTCTGGAGATGGCCTCAAGGGATGGCAGGGTGCAGCCAATAATCCTCTGGGCGGTGTTTATTGTCCTCTGAACAGCCTTCCTGTCCTCAGCAGTGGAGCCTGCATACCACACACTCAGAGAGTAGGTGAAGGTGCTCTCCACGGAGCAGTGGTAGAAAGCCAGCAGCAGTTTCTGATCCAGGCCAGACCTTCTCAAGACCCGGAGAAAGTGCAGCCGCTGCTGAGCCTTTTTAACCAGAGCTCTGGTGTTGGCAGACCAGGACAGGTCAGCAGAGATGATGGTGCCAAGGAACCTGATGGAGGGGACACGGTCCGCATGCTCCCCATTTATGAGGAGAGGGGCGTGTGTGTGACAGTGTCTCCTGAAATCCAGAATGAGCTCTTTTGTTTTT